CCCCAAAACCCCAAAACCCCAAAACCCCAAAACCCCTGATAATCTCTCATAAATTGATAAATATTTCAAAATGGGTGGAGCTTCAGGCCGAGAGAAAGCGTTACAAAAGATAATTAAACAAAACAAAAGCGGAATCACAGACCAAGATCTTGAAGAAATTATGATGAACACTCAATTCTCAGAATTTGAACTAGTTAAATTACACAAGAAGGTACCCTCCAAATTTGAATTATAGTTTATGGAACTGGATACGAAGAAGAGAGGCAAACTCACCAATAGAGAGTTCCTTCAATTAGGTATGACAGTATAGTAGAAAATTAAGAAGGATTAACACTTTTGGTATAGAAGAACTACAGGTCACCCCCTTCAGGGCACGCCTGAAGTATGCGTTTCCTTTAAAGTCCGATGAAGAGGTCGCAGCATCTGATCAATTGAAGCAAGAAACCCTTAAAGTTGAAGATTATAATGACTTTGAAGAATTATTAGGCAAGAATGATAAAACTGTTGATAAGCTAAATGAGAATAACAAGACTAAAGAAGACATGAAGACCGGCATGGAAGATGTCAAACAAAACCTCAAAGAAAAAGATGACGAAGATGCTAAAGAAGAAAGGAAGGAGAGTAATAACAATCATGAAGAAAGCAAGCACGAATTCGGCCAAGATGAAGACGAAGAGAATAAATAAGGAGCATAATTTTGAAGGAGATGATGTCAAGAATGATATAGACACCCCACAGTTCATAGGAACTCTTGGGCTTAAGGCTTATATTGACTTCCAAGAATTTTGAAGACTCCTTTCTGTGTTCAACCCTAGGTTCAACATCGATGAAAAGGTAAAGTTTTATTTCAGAATATTTGACTGTGATGAAGATAAGAAGATCACAGAAGATGATTTATACACTGTCGTAAACTACCTATTTGGAACTCTGGAAGAGGAAAATGGAAAGGACTTTAGTGAAGAAGACAGAAAACACCTTGTAGAAAAATTATTCCAGGAGGCTGATACCGGACAGAAGGAATACCTAGATGTTGACGACCTCGAGAAGATCCTCTGGGTCACCAATATCGAACAGAAATGATCCATGACATTTTTCATCGAGTAGGCAGAATTATTCGAATTTCTATTAAAATTTATAGGCAAGGGGTTTTGGGGTTTTGGGGTTTTGGGGTTTTGGGG